GAGGGCCGAGTTTGGAGGGTGCTTGCACTAAATCTCCTGGCTCATCAGTCCCTGTGGGTTTTCCTTGGCGCTTGCAACAGATTCCTCCAGCAATGGAGTCCTAGTCCTTGAGAGAATCAAGCGTGCACTACGAGAGGACGTGATCCTTGAAAGTTTGCCCTTGAGATCTAGCGATAATAGCCCAACCCGGAGCCCTTGATAAGAGGCCACTGAAGCAGAGAGAGCAAAGGAAGCGATCTCGCCTTCTCTTGGGCAAGGAGCTGAAGGACATCTGCGGTTTGCTCAACTTCAGCAGTTAAAACCAAATCTGTAGGTCAGTCTTATCCACAGGCCTTGAGAGTCAAGGCAGTTTAGGCTCTGGATCCACATCTAAGCAGCACTTCCTTTTCATCCCATGGGGGAGCCACCAAGGGGCAGCCCCAATACCTGTCTGTAGCACAACTCACAGGCCAGTTCTCCCGGTCTGCCCCAAGGAGGACCCTAAGGTCCATAAATAGCAACACCCTAGAGGTCCCAGGCCCTAAGGAAGCCAGATTAGCCTCAGCCAGAGCCAGGGCCTTTTCAGCACTGGCTCCGGGCTGGTGGAACGCTCTGTCTCATGAGACCAGGGCCCTGCAGGATCTGATTTCTTTCCACAGGTCCTGTAAGACGCGAGTTGTTCCACCTGGCTTTTGGCTTGGAATCAACTTGATCCCCTTCCCCTCTATCCTTTTCCCTTTCTCCTTCTGTGATGGAACTCCTATTTGGGGACTTCCCTGGCTTTTTTCTGGCCCACGTAGGACCAGTCTGGATAGTTAGCCTTGGAGAAGACTTGACGTTTTCATCCCCAAAAAAGTTTTTGAGTTTCTGCTGAAATGAGGCTGCATTTTAATGTTGTATTTCAATCTTGTTTTTTAAGTTGTATTTCAATCAATTGTTTTATATCTGGTGTTAGCCGCCCTGAGCCCGGTCTTGGCTGGGGAGGGCGGGGTATAAATAATTTTATTATTATTATTATTATTATTATTATTATTATTATTATTATTATATTCTCTCACACACAGCCTAGCCTACCTCTTAGGATTGTTGTTGTGAGCAAGATATAACTCCTTGGCCTTAGGCTAGATATATACTGCCAACAAAATAAAGATTTTATTTTTATTTTTACAATTTCTCTATCAAGTACCGTATTTTTTGCTCTATAAGACTCACTTTTTCCCTCCTAAAAAGTAAGGGGAAATGTGTGTGCATCTTATGGAGCGAATGCAGGCTGTGCAGCTATCCCAGAAGCCAGAACAGCAAGAGGGATTGCTGCTTTCACTGCGCAGCAATCCCTCTTGCTGTTCTGGCATCTGAGATTCAGAATATATTTTTTTTTCTTGTTTTCCTCCTCCAAAAACTAGGTGCGTCTTGTGGTCTGGTGCATCTTATAGAGCGAAAAATATGGTAGCTCCTAAAAACAGGAGTGAGAAACCTTCTTCAGTCCCAGGGTCTCATTCCCAAGTTAAGTATAAACCTTCTGCGGCCCACATGCTTGTGGGATGGGGAGCAGCGGAAACGAGAGCTGATCTTTGTGTAGCTCATAAAATCATAGAATTGTAGAGGGGGAAGGGACCTCGAGGGTCATCTAGTCCAACCCCCTGGAATGCAGGAATCTCAAGCGTCCCTGACAGATGGCCATCCAACATCCGCTTAAAAACCTCCAAGGGAGCAGAGTCTGCCACCTTCTGAGGGAGACAGTTCCACTGACTTACCGTCAGTAAGTTCTCCATGTTTAGTCGGAATCTCCTTGATTGCAAATTGAATCCATTGGTTTGAGTTCTACCCTACAGAGCAGGAGAAATCAAGCTTGCTCCATCCTCCATGTGACAGCCCTTGAGATGTCTATGAATATATTGAATATGAGGCTTGGGAGAAATTGTGGAATGAGGGGCTAAAATTTACGGCGTGTACCCCCTTGAAGCTGGACCATAAAGAAGGCTGATCGCCGAAGAATGGATGCTTTTGAATTTTGGTGCTGGAGGAGACTCTGGAGCGTCCCATGGACTGCAAGAAGATCAAACCTCTCCATTCTGAAGGAAATCAGCCCTGAGTGCTCACTGGAAGGACAGATCCTGAAGCTGAGGCTCCAAGACTTTGGCCACCTCATGAGAAGAGAAGACTCCCTGGAAAAGACCCTGATGTTGGGAAAGATGGAGGGCACAAGGAGAAGGGGACGACAGAGGATGAGATGGTGGGACAGTGTTCTCAAAGCTACCAGCATGAGTTTGACATGATGTACCGCTGGTACGTAACACCTGTCAGGCTAGCAAAGATGTATAGAATGAGTAGTAAAGTATGTTGGAAATGTAAAGTGACAGATGGAGATTTTTTCCACATGTGGTAGACATGTGAGAAAATGAAACAATTTTGGAATATGATTTATAACAAGCTGAAAAAGTTATTTAAATATACCTTCCAAAAAAAACCAAACAGAAGCTTTTTTGCTAGGCTTGATAGGTGAAGAAATAGGAAAAGTAGACCAGAGATTATTCATGTATGCCACGAAGGCTGCTAGAATTTTGGTAGCCCAGAAATGGAGGACACAGGAATTGGAGGAGTGGCAGACAAAAATGGTAGAATATGCAGAATTAGCAAAACTGACTTACAGGATTTGTAACCAAGAGGAAACAAAGTTCAGAAGAGAGTGGAGAAAATTTGTGGAATATATAAGTAATAATTGCAGAAGTTTAAAGACTGTAGCAGGATTAAAATAAATCTAACGATGTGGATGGGATGTTATTAAGAAACTGCGGAAAGAAAAGTGGAAACTGAAAACCTGTTGAAGGGAGGGAGGGAAGTTCGCACTCAGTAGAGCGATGAAAAAATAAGTTATTATGGAACCTTATTGTATTTGTTTGTTTGACTTATGCTAAAGAAAACTCAATAAAAATGCATTTATTTATTTTTTTAAAAAGGAGATATCTGAAGATGGCTCTCATATCTCCTCTGTTTTCCAGGCTAAACATACCCAGCTCCTTCAACCATTCCTCATCAGGCTTGCTTTCCAGGCCCTTGATTGGCTGCCCTCCTCTGCACACCTTCCAGCTTCTCAATATCCTCTTTAAATTGTGGTGCCCAGAACTGGACTACGCATTCCAGGTGTGGTCTGACCAAGGAGCAGTAATATAGATCTCTTCCCTTGATCTGCCCACCGGACCTCTGTTTGTATCTGGGGGAAAGCAAGAGGCATGATTACAGTTCAAGATTAATTCCACCCTTGGGCAAAAGAACAGGAGGTGGTGGTGCAGGATCTGTGAGGGGCGTGGCCTGGAGAAAGGGGGCGTGGCCTGGAGAAAGGGGCGTGGCCAGCAGAGCGCCCCGGCAGCTTGAAATAGGCTTACAGGGCCCCCATTCTGTTTCTCACCCCCAACACAAAGCTTGACAGAAGCCTTAAGCGGAGCTGACGAGAGATGGGAAAACGTTTCAAGTCGCCATCGACCCGCAGACTCTCTTCACTAGGGAAGCCGCAAAGCGTTGAGCAAGCCTCAGCCGGCCTCCGTGCTGAATTATTCAAACCCCTTTCCATTACTTACCCAGATAAGTGGGCTGCAGCGAGAGATGAGCTGATGCCACAGCTTATTAAAACTTTGCTGACTCCGAGGACAGGCGAAGACTGACCCTCTTTGTTGTTCTTGGCGGGCGCTGCCTCTTCCAGCGCTGCAAGATGGGAGAAGGTCGCGCAGGTTTCTTAAGCTTTTTCACGGATGCAGGCGATGCCGCTAAGCGGAGGTGGGGGCCCGGCAGCCCTTCGGATGCCCTTGGACGGACACTGCTTCCCTATCCCACCCCAGACTTCAAAGCCTCTTATCTCCCCAAGTTCCCATTAGCTAAGCTGCAGAACCTGGGCAGCAGGTGTGATAAGCTTGCAGCAGACCTTTTCTAAGGGCAATTTGCACACACAGAGCAGCAATAAGCCTACGGGCACCATTAAGATTCGTTCCAGCAATCAGGATTTGGAAAGAGGGAGGAATCCCATGCAGCTTAGGAGCCAAAACATTCCCCACTCCCATAACACAGGGACATTCAATAACAATAACAATAACAAGTTATTTATTCATACCCCACCCATCTGGCTGGGCTTCCCCAGCCACTCTGGGCGGCTTCCAACCAAGTATTAAAATACAGTGGTCCGTTAAACGTTAAAAGCTTCCCTAAAGAGGGCTGCCTTCAGATGTCTTCTAAAAGTCTGGTAGTTGTTTTTCTCTTTGACATCTGATGGGAGGGCGTTCCACAGGGCGGGTGCCACCACCGAGAAGGCCCTCTGCCTGGTTCCCTGTAGCTTCACTTCTTGCAGGGAGGGAACCGCCAGAAGGCCCTTGGCGCTGCACCTCAGTGTCCGGGTAGAACGATGGGGGTGGAGACGCTCCTTCAGGTATACAGGACCGAGGCCGTTTAGGGCTTTCAAGGTCAGCACCAACACTTTGAATTGTGCTTGCAAACGTGTCAAGTTAATTGATTACGCATGACCCCGCTAATTGGATTTACGATCCCCAATTAGCTCCGGCAGGTCCGGCACACTTCCTCTGAGCGCCTCTGCTGGGAGCCAATGTAGGTCTTTTGGGACCGGTGTTATGTGGTCTCGGCGGACGCTCCCAGTCACCAGTCTAGCTGCCGCATTCTGGATTAGTTGTAGTTTCCAGGTCACCTTCAAAGGTAGCCCCACACAGAGCGCACTGCAGTAGTCGAAGCGGGAGATAACCAGAGCATGCACCACTCTGGCGAGACAGTTTGCGAAACTGTGAAACTATTCCCACCCCCCACTACCCCAGGGTGGGTTCAAAGGTGGCCACAGGATGTGATTCTGCAATTGTTTTGCAACATTCAACACATGCACAACGCTGCTTCCTTTCCCTTCATTCTCACCTAACTGCCTGGGGCGCCTGGATTTCCTTTGCACTGGGACTTGGGAGGGCTCCCTCATTTCTGTCTCAATTGTCACAGGGAACCAGACACACTGCCAAAAACTTTTGCAAGACTCATTTGGATTTTACAATATTTTATTTATTTTTGAGATTACAGAGTCCTTATTGCTGATCTAATACAATCACTCAGACATTAATATTTAAAACATCCTTTTTCGAAAATATTATAATCTCATAAGTTTTTTTTATTTTTAAACTTCCTTATTGGAGAATTATGACATGATTTTTGTTTTCCTGGTTTCAGATATTCGGATCGCAATTCGCCGCTTTTCCTTATGACGCGTTTTTGTTTTGCTGGTGTCTCCTACCTGTCTTTTTTAAATAGTCTTTGAAATGTTACGTTAGAAAATAAAACATTTATTACACTTGCTTAAGATTTAGAGATGATCACAGAAGTATGGCGATTCCAGACTGATTGGGAAATGCTGAGCAAGCAAAATAGCTTTACAGACAAATAAAAAAATAAAACGAAAATAAGCAGAACACAGAGGAAGATTTATTTATTTTTTTAAGAAAAGAAAATCAGAGGAGATAAAACCCTTTCTGTGGGACATTTCTGTTTGTTCCCTCCCGCCATTCTCTACATCAAAGATAAAAATGATTTAGAGCGAACAAATTTACAAATGAGGACAGCACCATCACACGCTCTTGCTAGTGACAGACCCTGAACAGGTGACCCCCTTCTCCCCACCCGACTGCACCCACCCCTTTCAAGTCACACACTTTGGGGGTCACATGGCAGAACGGTTGTCTCTTGCTGGAGAAGTGGGAGGGTATATCATGCCTGGTAGCCGAGACACTGGGTGGATGAGAGGGACTTGGACAGACTCTAGGAGAATCGGTCTGCCTGACGACTGGAGCCATATTTCTTGTAGCGGGTTCAACGCTGCTCCATCTAAGAGGACAAGACAGGCCTTGCCAGACTAAGTCAAGGACCTGGGCATTTGGGGGGGCAGCAAACAAAGGTGGCCTTGCGCTTCGTGATATTCCAAAGTCCACGTGGAAGAGCATTCAACTCAAGAGTCAGGAGAAGCAGGGCGGTGAATTCACACAGCCACTTCCCCCACTGCAGGGCGCAGAATCGGCCCTTCCACCATCCTCTATGCAGAAGTGAATGCAGCCCCCAGCGTGAGATGTGGCCCGAATCCTCAATCTTTCCCAATTTCCTTGCCACTTGCTCCCCAAGTGTCCTGGGGGTCTGGGCAGGCAGCACGTCCCTGGCAGTTCCTCCGCAAGGACTCAGGCACCACACATACCAAACAGATGGAAGTCAAGCAGGTGCAAACTATACTCAAGAGAAGCAAAAAAAAATGTGTTTTGTTTCTTTAAAAGTTAAGAACGAACCCAGTTTGTACTAAAAGCAACAAAACTGCCCAACAGCTCCTTCCTATATAGTTCACCACTGGTATTACAAAATGCACGACCAGATTTTTAAGAAACGGTGAAGAATTGCACAGTCAAACTCTTCACATAGCCATGCCCTCCAGAAACATCACAGTCGGACTAACCTTTGCTACTGAAAACATGAAGGATGTACAGAGACTGGGCAGATTTCCACAGAAAGCCAGACAGGCACCCACAACTAGTTCTGCAATTCTCTGCACCCCATTTTCTCTTTTCTTCTCCTCCGCTCCCCCCCCCCCCGGCAAAAGCTTAAATTAAATTAAATTAACAAAAGCTTTGCTCCTTTCTCTGCCCCACCTTCTCCTGACTCCACCGGAAGACTTTTTCTTTTCCCATTTTCAAGCTATCTCCTGCCAGGAAATTTGCTCTGCTGTTGCTCTGACAATCTCAGGTAGCAGATCAAATGCACGAGCTAAGTTCTTTCAGCAAAAGGTAAGCCATCCCTGAATCCAGGTCTTTCGTGACCCCGTCCGAAGGTGGGATTCATTCCCTCTTTACTGGTGAAATGAATAAAATGTATTCAAATGGGTATGGGTCCCTGGCTGCAACTGTGCCAATTTGGAGTGTTAATAATCGTAGAAAAAGAAAAATCTATGGCTGCAGTGCCAGAATAATACCAGCATGGAGAGACACAAAAGGAAAAAACAACTGCAAGAGGAATATTGGTCTGGATGCAGCCTGAGGTTGTCTTGCCTGAATCTGAGGACACCAGAAGTGCCTGGCTCCTGGATTACCCCAAAGCCAGTATCCTGTTTCCACCAGATGCCCCAGGACCTGAGAGCAGCTGCGCTCTTTTCATAGGACACCGTGAAGCCTGGGGCAGTTCAATGGAAAGGCAAAATCCGTTTGGGTGGGGTTTCCCTTTAGAGCAGAATCGGGACACGACGGGAACGGCCCAGCAGGAGAATCCCCGCACAAGGCGCTTTCAAAATGGATCGCGGGAGACGTGCAAGACCAAGGAAGCTCAAGGCTCATCCATTTCAATGTGCCTCGCCCAGCAAATGTTCCCACTGGCTCAGGCCCAGCATCACCGACAAATTCACCCCTGGTTCGCTTCACGCTAACAGAACCCGCTCTGCTCCTGCGAACAACTGGAAAGCAGATTTGTGCAAACGAATGCCCAGGTCACATTTGCAGGATGTTGATGGCGCCTGTTTAAAAAGCAACAGCTGCCCAACCGGGGGGGGGGGGGGAGAGACTTGGACGTTTCCTAAAACCAAATACATGTGGGTCTCAAAGTCTATTCTCAGCAAGGACTACAATCCCTTGGCACAGAGAGAAGGATCGTGGGACGAGAAGGGTTCTCGCTAGCAGGCCTGCCAGCGTTCTACCGCCCTGTTCCGCAGGGGCCAACACAAGTTGCTTGGCTGCTTGGCGTCAGGAGGAGCACGTAATGCCCCAACACCACAAGTCCTGCAAGAATGAAGCTTTGGTAGGCATAGGGAGGGCGGGAGCTCGTCGCGACTTGCATATAAAACCTGCAAGGCTATTGCAGAAGCACAACAATGATCTTATGCGAAAAAAGGGTGCCTGCTCCACAGACCCCAGCAAGGTAGGCATGGGGGGGGGGAGAGAGGAGGGGGCAACATTTGCCTGGCCTGCTCTCCAGAAGCTGCCCCTCCCCTTTGCACAAGCAGCTAAATTCAGAAGAAGGTTTCCCCCGCAATGAGGTTGCAAGTGTCTTAGCAGCATGTGGAGCGGACTTGTGAGGCTTCCACGTTAAAGCAAATCTGCAGCCGCTTTCCCAACTGCCATGGCAAAAACACAAGAAAGACAGAGAGAGAGAGAGAGAGAGAGAAGCGAAGGAAACTTGGAGCGATGGCTCCCCGGCTCTCTCACGCCCATCCAACTTTGGCTGCTCTCTTCCAGCCCCCTTTGTTAATTTGTACACTGGATTAGACATAACAGTGATAACAAGATTGCTTGAAGCTGACATAATCTGCGGTAAAATTCATTTGGCCAGACAATCTCTCTCCTTCCCCCAGCCCCCAACTACAGCTTTCCACTCCCCACACCCCCCAAAAAACCACCCCCCAAAGTCCATCATCTCACAGTCCCATGGCAGTTTAAAAAACACCATTGGCAGAGGCCGCATTTACAGTATTCTAGTTTAATAAATAAATAACCTAACACACTGTGTACTACGGCAGCAAGCCTGGTTCTATGTTCAGAAGCTTGTACTGGTTTGTCCTGCACGGTAGCCGAGAGAGGTCTTGAGGTTTTTGCTCCTCCTCTTCCTTCCAGCTACAGCCACAGGAAATTAATACCTGTTTAAAAAAATAATCACAAAACAGCTGGATTATAACCCCAAAGCATTCACTTTCTCTTTCCTCCAAGAGATGGGGGGTGGGGGTTGAGGAGAAAGGGCTGATGTGCAATGCTCTTATAATTTGCTCTCGTAACATCTGAGCTCTTTTCTCATCTCCTAATTCCTGCTGCACTCTAAATCAGAACGAACACTTCCGCATGAGTGTAGGAGGTTTCTCCCTGTTAGGTAAGTGAACGCATTTCATTCAATTAAACTGCGCTAGTAAAACGATTGCCAGTTCTTGGGAGCAGGAAGTTGCAGTGAAGCCCACCAAGCTCCAATTACGTTCCTCTTGGGACACAGGCTTCTACCCTCACCCCAAACAAGGAGACGGCTCTGGAAGCTACTGAATTCTTGGATCTAGCAGAATCAGGGGTGCAATAAATGAGGGACTCAGCTGTCTTTACAGTGGTACCTCAGGTTAAGTACTTAATTCGCTCTGGAGGTCCCTTCTTAACCTGAAACTGTTCTTAACCTGAGGTACCACTTTAGCTAATGGGGCCTCCTGCTGCTGCCACGCCGCCAGAGCACGATTTATGTTCTCATCCTGAAGCAAAGTTCTTAACCCGAGGTACTACTTCTGGGTTAGCAGGGCCTGTAACCCAAAGTGTTTGTAACCTGAGGCGTTTGTAACCCGAGGTACCACTGCACCGTTAAACTAGGCTTTTGTAGCTGGGGGGCCATTGCTCGCTGGACCTAGTTCTGTTTCCTTCATGCTGCTAAGTGACTGCAAACTGTAATCTTTAACTGTAGACTGAGTCTATAATCTTCAGCCAGAATGCCTGCCATAACTGAGGATCTGGTACGTGCTCACACTGATATGAGCTGGAGAAATATAAAGGCCTCATTGTGCCTTTATGGTCTCCTCACTACCTGCCCTACAGCACAGACTCTGAAACAACCCTCAGATCTTCAGCATATAGGACATTATATGGGGGCAGGGGTGGGGGGGGGAGGTTTCCTGGTTTTTATTTATTTAACAAAAGGGAAGTACCTGTAGTAGTTTGGTTTGAAAGGCCCGTGTTTATTTAGACCCAAGTATTTCGCTTGCTCATCCGAAAGCTCCGTCAGGTGTGCGTCGAATGTTGGGAGATGAAGACTTGCCACGTACTCATCTGAAAAGGGAAAAGCGGCCCTGGTTAAGTCCGTGTGGCTGCAGGAAGACCCCAAACATCCCACAATGCAAGTGGGTGGGATGGAAACAGGAAGTTCAGCAGCAACAAAACAAAACAAAACTCAAAACACTCAGGGCTGCCTCGGCAGTTACCATAATCAGAAAAGCAACGAAGAGAAAACGGACCCTTCATTTCTAGATGGCTGGGATGATGGATATGGCTGGGACTTTTTAGATGCGAGAAGTAATTTCGTTGTCCCCGAGAGGGGCAATGACAATAAAGATATTATTATTATTATTATTATTATTATTATTATTATTATTATTATTATTATTATTATTATTAAATGATAGAGGAGCTAAAAGGCCACAGGCTCCCTATCCCTGACCCAATAGCAGTGACTCGTAATCTGGTGAACTGGGTTTGAGTCCCTGCCCCTCCACATGCAGCTGCTCGGTGACCTTGGGGTAGTCACTCTTCTCTGAAGTCTCTCAGGAGAAAGTGAAAGGAAATCGACCTTTAAAGCCCTAAATGGTCTCGGCCCAGTAGACCTGAAGGAGCGTCTCCACCCCCATCATTCTGCCCGGACACTGAGATCCAGCGCCGAGGGCCTTCTGGCGGTTCCCTCCCTGCGAGAAGCAAAGCTACAAGGAACCAAGCAGAGGGCCTTCTCGGTGGTGGCACCCGCCCTGTGGAACGGCCTCCCATCAGATGTCAAAGAGATAAACAAACACCTGACATTCAGAAGACATCTGAAGGCAGTCCTGTTCAGGGAAGTTTTTAATGTGTGACATTTTAATGTATTTTTAATCTTTGTTGGAAGCCGCCCAGAATGGCTGGGGAAACTCAGCCAGATGGGCGGGGTATAAAGAATAAATTATTATTATTATTATTATCATCATCGTCATCATCATCATCATCATTTCCCCAGGAGCCTTGGGGATGCAGCAGCAGCAACAGCAGGGAACAAGTCCCGATGCTAACTAACCTTCCACCTGCAGGAAGCAGGTAAGAAGGAGGGTACCTTAGGGTGGGGTGTGATGCCTGAAGCTTACCCATTTTTTTAGGGAGCAGGTAGACGTCCTGCTTGTAGCGTCCTTCCGGGGCGTTGTAGAGCTCTATCAAGGCCAGAGCCTGGCAAACAAATGAGAAGAGAGACCAGGTTAAGCTGGATCTCTGACCACAGAACAGATCTACCCAACAACGGCTGCTCAAGTCGACCAGAACACCTGGTGGAGAGAACTAGAAGGGACCAGAAACGCCACCAGCCCAGGATTCTATTCCATGGCAGCTCAGCAGCACCAAACTGTTTCCATTCCTGATCCTTCCCTGCACAGGAGCCAACTCTTAGGGGCCAAGGTCCCTTCGCCCCTCAATAAAATATATTAGGGGGTTGGGCGCCTCCCAAAGTTGATGAGCATCGCCATGCAAATGGTGAGTGCATGTGATGTGTCTTGTGATCAAATAGGTGGGGTAGGGCTTACCTGCGCCCCCCCAATATTTCATTCAAACTGGCACCCCTGCTTCCCGTAAGATGGACACTGAAGGACAGGAGTCAGGGGAAGAAGGCACTTCAACTGTTTCACACAAGCCAGCCAGATCACAGGTTAAAATCAGCAAGGATGGCCCAGTGCTAAAACGAGCAGCTGTTCTGACTGTGGGTGAATCAGGCATCCCTTACTCGCTCCAGACACAGCTATCAGGTAAACACACTGAATACGAAAGGAATCCAACCTCTGATTTCTCACCCCGAGGAATTTTGCTGGGTCACAGATCTGCTCCACTCTGTATCATCCTGAACTGCAGGAGTCCTTGATAGCTCAGTGCAAGAGAACAGGGTGGGTGGGGGCAGAGCGTAGATATTTCAAAATGCGGGGGGGTGGGGGTGGAACAGCAAGAACCCCTTATCTATAATGAGTCACAACTGAGGAATGGCAATAGAACTCCTGAAATACCCTTTGAAGGGAGTTCTTCTATGACCTAGCACTGTATACTCACTTAAATATTCTTAAAGTATCAATGACTTCCCTTCTTCTCTTTCATTTTGCATACTATAAATCCCTGCATATTTTACACAAACCAAACCATTCAGTATTCCATTATGTGTGAATTCAGTTTTTTGCTACTGAAGGTGTGAGGCAGGGATGGGGAACCTGGGGTTCTACATATGTTGTGGGGCTCAAACTCTCATCACCCGTGATCTCTGGCCACACTATGAGACCATGGGTAGGCAAACTAAGGCCTGGGGGCTGGATCCGGCCCAATCACCTTCTAAATCCGGCCTGCAGACGGTTCGGGAATCAGCGTGTTTTTACATGAGTAGAATGTGTCCTTTTATTTAAAATGCATCTCTGGGTTCTTTGCGGGGCCTGCCTGGGGTTTTTACATGAGTAGAATGTGTCCTTTTATTTAAAATGCATCTCTGGGTTATTTGCAGGGCACGGGAATTGGTTCATTTCCCTCCCCAATATATAGTCCGGCCCCCACAAGTTCTGAAGGACAGTGGACTGGCCCCTTGCTGAAAAAGTTTGCTGACCCCTGTATAAGACCCTCATGCAAGTTACCCTCAGTGCCCTTCCCCCCTGAACTGCAGGAGTTGAGGGGTGCAAAACACAAAGCTGTTGTTTGGGCTGCCTTTCTGGGTGCCTAATACACACTGAGAAGGGCATCTGACCTTTTTCGGGGAAAACCTGTGTCACCATTATGAAAAAAGAACTGAAATAAACGGCCTCTTGGCTGATCCAGTATGTTAGTTTATTGAATAAAGGTAAAGGGACCACTGACCATTAGGTCCAGTCGTGGCCGACTCTGGGGTTGTGGCGCTCATCTCGCTTTACTGGCCGAGGGAGCCGGCGTACAGCTTCCGGGTCATGTGGCCAGCATGACTAAGCCGCTTCTGGCAAACCAGAGCAGCGCACTGAAACGCCGTTTACCTTCCCGCCGTTTACCTATTTATCTACTTGCACTGGTGTGCTTTCGAACTTCTAAGTGGGCAGGAGCAGGGACTGAGCAACGGGAGCTCACCCCGTCGTGGGGATTCGAACTGCCGACCTTCTGATCGGCAAGTCCTAGGCTCTGTGGTTTAACCCACAGTGCCACCCGTGTCCCCATTAGTTTATTGAAAACTGCCCCGCAAATCCCACTCACCTGGGTAGTCGCTGTTATTGACAGCACAAAGGTTGGAACTGTGGAGCAGCTCAGGTTCAGCAAGCGCCCCTGAAAGATAAAAAACACATCATTCCTGCATCCAACGCTGGCTTCTCCACGGGCAGACTGCTCCTGAACTGCAGGGAATGCCAGCAATTCAGCTCCACCGTCAAACAGCAACAGGAGGAAGTAGCAGGAGCCCCCTCAGAAGGAAGTTAACTCAAATGGCTCTGTCTTTGACTCAGCAAGGCTGTTAGCTCTTGGGAGAAGCTTCTAAAGCAGCGGTTCTCAACCTGTGGGTCCCGAGATGTTGTTGGACTACAACTCCCATCATCCCTGAGCTCTGGACTTGCTAGCTAGGGGTGATGGGAGTTGTAGTCCAACAACATCTGGGGACCCACAGGTTGAGAAAGGCTGTTCTAAAGGGTCAGCACTGGGAGGCCCCTCCAGATGTGCACTAGAGAACCCCAGGCCAAGATGAAAGAGGAGCTCATCTTCTGGACCACAACTGTACACACAGGGAGATCCCAGCACCCACCCAGCCTTCTTCACCAGCCCGGTGCCCTCCAGATGTTTAGGACTACAAGACGTGCAGTCCAAAAACATCTGGAGGGCACAAGTAAACAGCAAAGTTATTCCACCCTGTTTGGAAGGCCCTCCCTTACCTCTGCCAGCAGCACTATCCTCTTCCCGTCAGGCCAAATCACATGGTCTACCTGAGACCTCACCCGCTCCCATGTCAGCTCCGGAGTACGCAAGCTGGCCTGGAAGACAACATTCGAAAAGTCTGAAGCAGAAAGGGCCTTCGGAGTCAGCAGAAATGGTCACTGCACAAAGTCTCACTGCACGGAGTAACTTGTCGTCGGCTGAGCGAGATCTAAGGTCTGCAGGGGGTGGGCACTGCAGGACAACGCACGCCTTACACTTCGACGGCCCCGATTCACCAATTCAGCACCGCCAGAGGCAGGAAGTAAGAACCGCTTTGCTGAATCAGACCACGGATTTGTCCAGTGCAGCCTCCCCCTTCTTCATCTTTAAAGCAACTGCTCTTGTGGCAACAGATCCCGTAAAACAGTTAGTGAAAAGCCACCTTCAGCCTGCCTGAGTTGAAACTCCTGGGACTTGAAACTCATGGGGCGACCTGGGTCGTTCTAGCATTGTGAGGGGATAGAAAAAAGTCCTGGACTTTCTCCATCCCTTACTTACGTCTACAAGTCTCTGATTATTACCCCTCTCCTAATCACCTTTGCTCTAGAGAATCCAAATGATTTTACATAAATGAATTGTGACTCACTTCAACCCCATCGTTCAGCCCGGTCACTGAGGTCCAGCTCCGAGGGCCTTCTGGCAGTTCCCTCACTGCGAGAAGCAAAGCCACAGGGAACCAGGCAGAGGGCCTTCTCGGTGGTGGCGCCCGCCCTGCGGAATGCCCTCCCTTCAGATGTGAAGAAAATAAGCAGCTATCTTATCTTTAAAAGACATCTGAAGGCAGCCCTGTTCAGGGAAGTTTTTAATATTTAATGCTGTATTGTTTTTAACAGTTGATTGGGAGCCGCCCAGAGGCGGGGTCCAAATAATAAATTTATTATTATTATTATTATTATTATTATTATTATTATTATTATTATTATTATTATTATTGTCATGAATTGTTAGGAGCTGACTATTGTGCTGATTACTGAAATTACTCTGAAGTTGTTTTCATCATCACTATTATTATTATTATTATTATTATTATTATTATTAAACCCAATTGTTATGTCTTTATAAAGCCCCAATTGTTATGCCACATTGCTATCCACCATGAATCCACTCTGGAGTGCAGAAATGGCAGAAAATGGGTATATAAATATACCTGACTTTCTTTTGGGAGGGCAGGCAGTGGGGAAAAACCAGCCCAGAAAAAGGGCACTCCACCCCCCTTTTCTGCAACATTTCTGAATGCAAGCCAGCAGCGCCACTCTGGGCGGCTTCCAACAAAGATGAAAAATACACAAAAATGTCACATATTAAAAACTTCCCTGAACAGGGCTGCCTTCAGATGTCTTCTGAATGTCTGGTAGTTGTTTATCGCTTTGACATCTGATGGGAGGGCGTTCCACAGGGCGGGCGCCACTACCGAGAAGGCCCTCTGCCTGGTTCCCTGTAACTTGGCCTCTCGCAGTGAGGGAACCGCCAGAAGGCCCTCGGCGCTGGACCTCAGTGTCCGGGCTGAACGATGGGGGAGGAGACGCTCCTTCAGATATACTGGACCGAGGCCGTTTAGGGCTTTAAAGGTCAGCACCAACACTTTGAATTAGAGAGGTGCATGGGCACATCCTAACTCTGTAAAGGACAATGACAAAACCAGGAGCCCTGTCAGAGGAAGCTTACTTGTCAGAGGGCTCCGATTACCCAGCTCCTCCGCTGACACTGACACACAGAGAGGCCTGGGCTGAAGGAACGTCAGTGTTTAGCAGCTGTTTACTGCAGGGGTTGCTTAGCAGCTAAATACAAGCTGGCATGCCAGCGGATGTCCTGACAGATGAGTGAGCGAGCTCCACTGCTTATCTCCCTGCCCTCCCGCCCAAAAAAGCTTGGACAAGGCTGGTGTTTGCCTGGTTCCAAAAGAACAAATGTCAGCCCTCCCTATTGTGCTGTTTTGGAAAGCCCGGGGGGTGGGGGAGAGAGAGCTGTTCAGCACTCCCATCTGCCCCTACCGGTGAGACGAAGGGTCAAAAAGGCACTCAATGAGAGCCTGGAAGAAGCACGGACAAGCGTCCTCAAGGGTGCTTTCACAAAGAGCGTTCTGAACAACCCACTTTGCTGGTTTCAAGGCTGACGTTTACTTTTTATTACAGCAGCCGAGTAGCACAGCCACAGGAGCCTCCACAAACCTTGTGCCCTCCAGAGGCTGCTGGGGTCCAGCTCCTACCAGCCCCAGCCATCACGGCCAATTTTCAGGGGTGGTGGGGATTCTGGAGAGGGCACCAGCTTGGGGAAGACTAACTAATAGTCGTGACTTAGGGCCCTTGTACCTACAGGACCGCCTCTCCTGGTCTGCCCCGCAGAGGACCTTAATGTCCATGAACAACCATAGTTTAGAGGTCTCAGGCCCTACGGAAGTCAGACTATCCTCCACCAGGGCCAGGGCCTTTTCGGTGATGGCTCCGACCTGGTGGAATGCTTTGTCCCATGAGACCAGGGCCCTGCAGGATTTAACCTCCTTCCGTCAGGCCTGTAAGACAGAGCTATTCCGCCTGGCCTTTGATCTGAATTCAGCCTGATCTTCTATTTCCTTTCTCTTCCCTCCCCCTCCCCTTTTATGAAGATCACCCGCTCTGAGACCCCACAGCTAATTCTCCCCTGGTCTCCTCGCTGGCCCATATAGGACTAATTCAGCCAGCTAGCCCTGGGGATTATCTAATGCTTATTAGATGGATTTCCCCTAAATTGATTTCTGAACTTTGAATTTTATTGTTATTCGTGTTTTTATACTGTATTTTACGCTGCTTTTACAATTAAGTGTTTTAAATTTGTTGTTAGCCGCCCTGAGCCCAGTTTTTGAACCAGGAAGGGTGGGGTATAAATAAAATTTTATTATTATTATTATTATTATTATTATTATTATTATTTCTGTCCAGGCCCAGGATACAAGTCCACACACAACCATGAATCTCCCTTGGTGACTGTTGTGCAGCCTCTCTCTCTAAGCCTAACCTACTTCACAGGGTTGCCAAGAGGAAGGGGGGAAACCTGGTACTCTGAGCTCCTTGGACAGAATGAAAATGTAATAAAACCAGGCATAAAGTTCTGCTCACTATTAAGCCAACCCATGTGTTTTTCTAGTTCAGAAGATGACACGCCCTCAGGAGGATAACCCACACACAAGTGTTTCTTTGGAGCAGAACACAGGTATCTAGAAATATCTACTGGCAGGATGGTAATCTTTCAGGCTTCACAGAGCTCAGAGAGCCAGTGTGGTGTAGTGGTTAAGAGCGGTGGACTCGTAATCTGGTGAACCGGGTTCGCTTCCCCGCTCCTCCACATGCAGCTGCTGGGTGACCTAGGGCCAGTCACACTTCTTTGAAGTCTCTCAGCCCCACTCACCTCACAGAGTGTTTGTTGTGGGGGAGGAAGGGAAAGGAGAATGTTAGCTGCTTTGAGACGCCTTCGGGTAGTGATAAAGCGGGATATCAAATTCAAACTCCTCCTCTTCTTCTTCTATTGCCTATAGAAAAGCTGCTCTAGCACTCCCCTGAATTTGGATCCAGCTCTGCTAGAAAAGACCCAGAACCCTCTTTCGTTTCCCATAATGCACTGCATTGCAGGTAGAGCAGGGAAGACCATCCCTAAAGCCCTTTACTAGAGACTGGGGGGAAAAAGAAAGCCCAGCTCTTACCACGTCAATTTCAGTGTTGGAATGCCCCATGTTACAAACGATGCAACTGTTCTTCATTCTGTCAAGATGTTCTCTGGTCACTACGTTTTTGTTACCTACAAACACACACAAAGAAACAAGATTTACAGAATGGAGTGCTTACTCTAAACCCCACCCTGGCTTTCTAAGAACGACTAGCACACACTGGGAGCGTCTTGTTGCACAAACCCTGGTTGAAATGGAAGGAGCTGGGCCCAGCCCACCCTTCCGGGAGACGGCCGGCTATGGATTTCCTTCTACCGTTCCATTGGGAAGGTTGCCGAAGGGGGTCGCGCTACCATTTGCACAACGAAACCCCACTGCGACGCAAGCGTACCTGTGCAAGTGATAACAATGTCGACTTGCCGAATCACTTCGTTCAGTTTCACAAGACGGAAGCCGTCCATGCTGTGAGAAATAAGCAGAGAGAGACCCCTAAAACCCAAGCCCAGCAGAAAATACCCCCACCTGAAAACCGGCCTGTGGAACACCCTCCCATCAGATGTCAGAGAGATAAAACAACTATCTGATGTTTAGAAGACATCTGAAGGCAGCCTTGTTTAGGGAAGTTTTTAATGACAGATGTTTTCTTCTATTTTTAATCTTTGTTGGAAGCCGCCCAGAGTGGCTGGGGAAGCCCAGCCAGATGGGCAGGGTAATACTACTACTACTACTACTACTACTACTAACAACAACAACAAGTTGTTGTTGCTGCTGCTGCTGTTGCTGTTGTTGTCATCGTCATCACTGTGAAGCTCCTGCTCTGCTGAAGAATGCTCTGCTGATGTTGAGCACCCCAGGACCACCCAGGATAGGGGTAGTGGGGAGAGAGTGGCAATTCCGTTTAGAGAAGGGGTCGGCAACCTAAGGCCCGGGGGCCGGATGCAGCCCAATTGACTTCTCAATTCGGCCCACGGATGGTCTGGGAATCAGTGTGTTTTTACATGAGTAGAATGTGTCCTTTTATTTCAAATGCGGGTGATGAAGTCGGTGCTGCGTGTTATTTCCAGCGAAGGTATTATTGGTCATTTATTTCTGTTCTCTCCCCTCCCCACAAAAAGCAAAGCAACTTTTGCTACCCCCAGCAAAAAGCTCCAAAACTTTGGACAGCAGCTCCCCCCCCCCAACTCTGGGCACTTTGCAATAAATAAGTGGGTTTTGGTTTGCAGTTTGGGCACTCGGTCTCGAAAAGGTTCGCCACCACTGCTTTAGAGTTACAAACTCCTTCAAAACTGGAAACTTTGGGTGCCTCCTAGCAGCTTCACTCTGATCCACGTGGTTCTCTTAACTCCTTCCCGCTGCCCCACCCTTCCAAAGTTGGCCACTGATGAATGGGTGGCAATAGGAAGGGCCAGCGGCATTCAGTAAAGCAAGGGATCAAATCCGGTGCTGACTGAGGACCCTGCCCACATTCCTCCGCAGCTTCAGCTCTTACCAGGCTTGCAGGGCACAAATGGGGTCGATCTCTGTCACGTACACAATGGAGCCCATGGCCTTCAGTGCAGCGCAGCAGCCCTTGCCCACCTGCAGCGGGAGAGCAGAACGTCAGGAAAGAGGCACAGAGGACTCAACGCTGCAAGAGCTGGGGGAAAACAACAGTGCAGCTCTATATTTCTGGGTCCTGTGGCGGGAGAAGCCTGAGGGAGGAGGGCCGGAAGATGTACTTTCAGCGCAATTAACCCAACGGCACCAAGCGTTTGCGGGTGGGGAGCTAAAGCATAGGGTAACTAGACACTACGCCCAAGTGGGCATCCGCATGCAACAGCAGAAAAATGCTTCTGTTCAAAAGAGAGGAGTGTCTAGGTACAATAAAAGCATGTCCAGTTATATACAGTGGTACCTCTGGTTGTGAATGGGATCCGTTCCGGAGGCCCGTTCACAACCTGAAAAGAATGCAACCTGAAGCACCGTATCTGCATGCACGAAGCGCAATTTAGCATTTCTGCGCATGCGACAAAACCAGAAGTAACCCTTTCCGGTACTTCCGGGTTGCCATGGGATGAAATCTGAAAAGACGTAACCTGAAGCGTCCGTAACATGAGGTATGACTGTACAAGAACCCAAGCAAGAAAGATGTTTTCCTGTAGGACAGGTAAGAACTATTCAAATTGGGGTATTCTATCTCACACAGAACCCTGGACTTCCCAAAATGAACAACGGTTCCACAACCCTGCAGCGTAGCAAGAGTGGCTTTCAAAGGGAATTTCTGCATGGGGACTGCAGGAAAGGGATGTCCCTTGGGAGCTGCTTATTCCATGAACCTGAAGTCAATGGACATGCAGATGCTGCAAATTACATGTAGGTGGTGCAAAAAACATAAACATGGACACGTGAAATCTTCTTTTTCCTCCTGGGATTACAGAAGGTTCCCTTGCAGACGTGCCAGTTCAGTGAGTGTGCCATTGCTCCCCCGTAATCAGTTCTGTCCAGTAACAGCCGATCAGTGTTAGCGGTTCAGTCTCCTGTGTTATCTCACTTCCCATCCACCCCGCAGAGAATGCAAAGGCGTTTGGCTGACCCGGGGACCCCTGTCTGTGCAACGCAAGATGGAGACATGGAGCCACCTTGTGCTCTCAGAGATCGGAGGCCACCACTAAGCCAACCTGGTGCTTGCTCTGCAGGTGCCTCAAAATGCACACAGGCCAGTTCTGCACCCTAACACCAACATCCCATATGTTAAGTCCTTAACAATTGGAATAAAGAAGAAAAACAGGGGTGGCACTAATGCTATGGGATGCACTTCCTGAAATATGAAAGGCTTAATCTGTATTGGCATTCCGCCGGCTTTTGAAGATGCACCTGTTTATGCAAGTAGACCCTTGATCTCTCAACCTGTGTCCCCCATTACTATGTTATTGTAATGGGGTTGTTTTATTGCATGCTTTAACTGTGGATGTTTATATTTTAATGCTCGTGTAATTGGTTTCTAGGGACGCGGGTGGCGCTGTGGGTTAAGCCACAGAGCCTAGGACTTGCTGATAAGAAGGTCAGCAGTTTGAATTCCCACGACGGGGTGAGCTCCCATTGCTCGGTCCCTGCTCCTGCCAACCTAGCAGTTCAAAAGCACGTCAAAGTACAAGTAGATAAATAGGTACCACTCCGGCAGGAAGGTAAACGGCGTCTCTGTGCGCTGCTCTGGTTCGCCAGAAGTGGCTTAGTCCTGCTGGCCACATGACCCGGAAGCTGTACGCCGGCTCCCTCGGCCAGTAAAGCGAGATGAGCGCCGCAACCCCAGAGTTGGCCACGACTGGACCTAATGGTCAGGGGTCCCTTTACCTTAATTGGTTTCTATTCTTGCAAACCATTTAGAAGCCTATTTTGGCATCAAGTGGCATATAAAACAACAACACCATGGGGGTTTAAAAAAAGCTTCTGGGAAATACAAGGGCTCTAGTGCATCTCCAGCGGAAGGGAGCCCCACAGTTCTGGGTTCAGCCACTCAGAACGCCTGTCAGCATGGAGACTCTCTCTCCAGGAAGGGCCTTCATTCATCTTGAAAGAGATTAAAAAATGACTTGAGGGAAGAAAGCAACTTCCATGACTGCTTTCTGTATCACAGTGTCATGCAAAAAGCCACAGGAAGCCTGCAGGGAGAACCCACAAGATAACCTGACACCCGACCCGGCTGGAGTGTAAAAATAATGCAGAGTGCAAGGCTTGTCTTGACATTGGGCTAAAACTGTTGTGTGCTGCAAGTTTCCAGGGGTCCAACAGGAGGTTGGGGGTGCAAAGAGGGAGATCAATACAGCTCTGTGCAGTTCAGAAGTCCAAGGCACGAATGCTTTTCTAAGTCCTTTCGCAAACCATTATCTAGAGGTGCCCTTAGATATCCGGAGGGAAGTCTTAGAGAAATCATCCCTAGAACTGGAGAAGGAACTATGATGCCACCCACAAGCTTCACCTAGAGCACAAGCGCAGCTTGCTCCAAGGGGGAAACATCCGAGTCTTACCTCTCCGTAGCCACAGACTACGACTTGCTTTCCTCCAAACATCATATCGGTTGTCCTTTTAAGGCTGAGGAAAAACGAGAGGGTTGCAAAGTTAATCTTGAGAAATTCTGTTATGTACGGGATTTCAGGCTCAAGGGCACAGCGGTTTTGGATTTGTGAATAATGGCCCTTGTGTGTATTGCTCAACAGTGATGCAACATCAGTGAAATGAACTAGGAGCTATACAAATTACAGAGCAGTACCACTCTTGCCAAGGGGGCTTGCAACGTGGGGACCACATGTGTAGGCTATTGCAATCATGTGCGAAGACACTCTGTACACATGCGAAGAGGCTGCACCTCATCCTTCGGGAGCCCTGGATGCGTAATCACTGTACATTATCTGCACATGGGGATTCCTGCAAATTCTTACACACAAAGCCTATTTCACAGGTATCTGGTAATCTGCAAAGCGATCCTGTGGTTTGAAAAGGAAGCCAGGAACAGGCGAAAGATTGGAAATTATCAATGAATGATAGGGAGCGGGGTGGGAGAGAGTCAATCAGTGATAAAGGTAACAGCAAGCAAAACAGTAAAAGCCAGGCTGTCTCTTGCAAAGCAGCTAAATGTGGGGGTCAATGTAACTGCAGACCCTGGGCATCTAAGCACATCAACAGCAACCAACTGCCTTTAAGAAGATTTTAATTCCTTCCTATTCTTTTAATGCTGCTTTTTCTTTAGTTTATAATTCTTTGCTTCTGCGTGTCCCTTTCAAGCCTCCAAACGGATACCCTTAGATGCTGAGAACCGCTGGCCCTTGCGATATCCCAGCTTTTGCCGGGGGCTCTGTTGGGAAGCACAAAGCGGTGGTTTCCAGGTGAAGGAAGCCATGCTGCTCTGCACATGGAAACTCTCCCTCTTAGCATATCTCCTTCCCTACTTGGCATCTCTGCAACTGTGCCCTACATTGTAGTCTATTTTTAGCAGATAAGTAAAATAGGTTAGCGGTGTAGGGAGTGTGGAACTTCAATTTTCCACTGAATATAGACGGCAGTCTCGGGGGATTGGAGTGCAGTTCTGCTCCTGTTCCTCGCGGCCCATTTTGCAAGGCCCAAGCTAGCTGCCTAGTTGATTTAAATATTTCAACTGCTTCCATACGATTCTGCCAAGCAGCAGAAACAAGAGCGAGCCGACGATAATTTCCTCTACTGGTATCAAATTTGCATGAAAGCATATTAGTAGAATTAGGAAGCAGCAATTTGCTTGCATTTCAACAAATGGAGAGGCCCGTGGGCTTTAACAGCGACTTTCCGCAGCATGCCCACTATAGCCTTGTTCTCCCTGAGGGAGGTCAAGCTGTGCCTGAGGTGTATCGCATGACTGAATGCCAGAAAAACCCGATTCACCACACAGGGAAAGCCAGTGCAGGGAGAAAGCCAAAATAGAAGCCTTCTCCCTCACATGCTGATTTTCCATGTGCAGGGAGCCGTTATGTTCAGTCATGTGTTTCCCCCACCTGGCACTCTGAAACGGTAAAATCTTTGGCAAAGGCGGCCATCCTCAGTGAGAGTCAGGCCCACCCATGTCTCGCAGTGAACATCAATGTGGTTACCAGCAGGGAGAGATGTGTTCAGACAGACTGGGGTATGCACTGAGAAACGGCAGCTGGCTGCAAATCCACCTCAAACACTGAGACGTCAGTGCCTGTTGTGCACAATGCAAAGCAGCCCTGAAGCAGAGGTAAAGGTAAAGGTACCCCTTCCCGTACGGGCCAGTCGTGTCCGACTCTAGGGTTGTGCGCTCATCTCACTTAAGAGGCCGGGAGCCAGCGCTGTCTGGAGACACTTCCGGGTCACGTGGCCAGCGTGACGAAGCTGCTCTGGCGAGCCGGCACCAGAGCAGCACACGGAAACGCCGTTTACCTTCCCGCTATAAAGTGGTACCTATTTATCTACTTGCATTTAGGGGTGCTTTCGAACTGCTAGGTGGGCAGGAGCTGGGACCGAAAGACGGGAGCTCACCCCGCCGCAGGGATTCGAACCGCCGACCATACGATCGGCAAGTCCTAGGCACTGAGGTTTTACCCACAGCGCCACCCGCGTCCACTGAAGCAGAGAGACAGGCCTAAAGAAGGCCGATAGAATTCACAGCCAGCCACAGGGCCTATGGGCATCGACTCTGTGGGCCTCTAAGCCCATGTCGAGCAGGATTGTAGGAGAGCCCACAAGACGCTCTAAACCCCACCTCCCTTTTGTATGCATCTGATCATGCAAGAGCTTCCTTGCTACGGACATCTAATGCCCCTGGGAAATGAAAATATGGGTTTGGGGAAACAATGCTAAATGTAGCTAATAAAAAGGTAAAGGTAAAGGTACCCCTGCCCGTACGGGCCAGTCGTGTCCGACTCTAGGGTTGTGCGCTCATCTCACTTAAGAGGCCGGGAGCCAGCGCTGTCCGGAGACACTTCCGGGTCACGTGGCCAGCGTGACGAAGCTGCTCTGGCGAGCCAGCACCAGCGCAGCACACGGAAACGCCGTTTACCTTCCCGCTATAAAGTGGTACCTATTTATCTATTTGCATTTAGGGGTGCTTTCGAACTGCTAGGTGGGCAGGAGCTGGGACCGAAAGACGGGAGCTCACCCCGCTGCGGGGATTCGAATTGCCGACCATGCGATCAGCAAGCCCTAGGCGCTGAGGTTTTACCCACAGCGCCACCGGCGTCCCTTTGTAGCTAATGCTAAATGCTAAATTCATCATGCTAAATGCTAATGCTAAATGCTAAATTCATCATGGGATGAACTGTCTATAGTGTTCCTTTAGCAAGAGGAAAAGAACAGGACAACAAGCTAGATGCCTTTGTTTCATGGTAGGGCAGTGGGCGGCGGGTGAGGGAGAAAGGGATAACATCCCCCCCACTTTTCTTCTCGTAGTTATCAACTTGGATGAACATAGCAACGTAAGGGATGGAAAAGAACATGCCGGGTCGAGTTGTCTTGTAATAAAAGCTTCAACCCACCAGGCTACGGAATGAGAACTGCAATTACCACGTCAGCAACATCCTGCTCTTAATTCCCTCTTAGTCTTCTGGGTTTAGGCGCTAGCGGCCAGCTTATTCCTGAAGCTACAGAGGAGTTTGGTGGCTCTGTGACATTTAGGGCGGGAAAGCTCCGCCACGTGGTGTCTGTTCCTTTGCCATTCTCCCACAGTGAAACGTTCTTGTGACGGGATTTGTACCGAACATCGAGAGAGGCCTTTTTAAAAAAACAAAACAATGCACTATGTCTGGAATCAACAAACCCAAACTGCACCCGTCTCCTGGCAAGACTATGCGGTTTGGAAACATGGAAATCACATTCACTGGAAAGCTTCAGCATAGGAGAATGGGAGTTACCACCCCGGCTTTTTTCCTGCCATAAAAGTGAGATGTTTTATCTATTTATAAAAATATCTGTGTACTGCTGTTCATAAACAGTATCACAGCAACCATACAAATCCACAATAAAAGCCATGTAAAAACTGAAAACCAGAGATTAACTATTGCAGAAATATATTTTAACTATTGCAGAAATATATTTTCTTAATTGCCTGTGTGAGCTCTGCGGCAGCTATTTGGGCATAGTTACACCTTTGCAGCTGCTTCTCTGCAGACCCTTGTGAGAAGACCTCATTCTCCTCTCCGTGTTCATTTAAACAGAAAGATACGTACCCATCTAAAATGGATTCCCGGCAGCAATAGAGGTTGTCAAACTTCTGCTTGGTGACAGAGTCATTGACATTCATAGCTGGGACGCACAGCTTGCCTGCCTTTGATAGCTGATACAATCTAGGGTGAGAGGGGAGGGGAAAGAATGAAAGGATAAAAGCCAAGGTTTCCTCCAATTTCCCTAGATGCTCTTCTGCCTTCTATTGACCTACACAATTGACTGACCAGCACCAGGTGCACCTAGTTAAAGAGTTTATTGTGAAATCAGCACTGCTCATGCAAGGGTTTTTTGTTTTTGTTTTTTGCAAAATCTACATGATGCTATCATTAAAATGCCAGCCCACCCATTTTTTACACTTAATCCAGATTTCCCCTTAATGTGGAAAGTCTGCTAAGTAAAAGTTACTTTTTAATGCATCTGCCCTCGCAACACTTTCTGAGTTTTGTTTTGGAGGCAGTGTATGTGATTCAAACTGCTGTCGCATTTTTAAAGACGGGGAAGTCGGGTCCAAATCCTCTTTCAGTTATGAAACGTACTAGGTGACCACAAGCTATTACAGTGGTACCTTGGGTTACATACACTTCAGGTTACAGACTCCACTAACCTGGAAGTAGTACCTCGGGTTAAGAACTTTACTTCAGGATGAGAACAGAAATTGTGCTCCGGTGGCACGGCGGCAGCAGCCCGCCTCAATAGCTAAAGTGGTGCTTCAGCTTAAGAATAGTTTCAGGTTAAGAAACGAATTAAGTACTTAACCCGAGGTACCACTGTATTGCCATGGGTTACTGGCATGTCAAGGTGCTGCTCTGAATTCCTTTGGAGGACAGACCGAAGAGTAATAAAATTAAGGAAGCTGTTTCTCTCCAAACAGGGACACCGGTGAAGTAGGATGCAGTTCCCACCCACCCAAAACACGGAAGAGTTGTTACCTGTGGACGCCAGTGACACTCTCCTCTACGATCCCCTTGATCTTCTTAAACATGTTGGGGTACTTCTTGTAGATCCAGTGTGTGAGATCCCCACCATCGTCTAAGATCTGAAACACCAAACGTGCCATTACTACCACATTCCTTTGCTACAGACCCAGCAGTTGGCATTCTGCATATGTGGTGGCTAAAAGGTTTTCCCCGCTGGTGGATGTAGATATTCTTTGGAGAGAGTAAGGAAAGGCATATTATAGAAGGGGACATTGCTCTGTACGTCTGAGAGTCCGACAGTGATCTGCCAGCAGGATTCGGCTGGCATGCATGTCTTTGGTATGGGAAAGCTAAAATGTATAAGAGCTTTTTGAATCATGTGATCAGGAAGAATTTGTATAGAGTCTGGGAGAAATGTAAGAACCTGATGGAAAGGGAAATACTGCTAGGGCTGCTGCCAATGGAAGCTATGGCAATCAAGAGAATCAATATGGACAGACAGTGGGTGACTTATAGAGACTTACTGGACTTCTCAAGGAAGAAATAAGGAGCCAAGTAACAGATTGGTTACAGTACCACCAATTGTACGGTATGTTTAAACCAGTGGTGTCCAAACTTTTTTCAAAGAGGGCCTGATTTGATGAAGTTGTTGAGGGTTTTTTAGGATTTTACCCCAGGAAATAAACTGCAACAGGGGCCAGATTAAACCGAATTACGCCCCCGAAACGGACTTTGGACATGCCTGGTTTAAACTATATAAGAAAAATGGACTTCTGGAACATAAAGTTCACAATTTGAAAGAGATTTATTAGTGAATAATGAAGAACTATTGTATAAGCTATTACTGGAGTGGGAAACAAAAGATGAACTGGTAAAAGCATCAATGACTCACTGGGCAACTGACAAAGGGCATAAAATTTGACCTCTGGGAGAAACTGTGGAAAAAAGATTTGAAATTTACTGCATGCTACACTTTGAAGGAGAATTATATGAAAATGATTCATGGATGGTATTTAACACCGAGTAGATTAGCTAAGATGTATAAATTTGAATCTGATCTGTGCTGGAGATGTATGGAAGCAGAAGGAACTTTTTTCATATGTGGCGGGCATGCAAAAAAATTTAAAAGAATATTGGGAAATGAGAGATAATGAGATGAAAAAATTGTTTAAAACAACACACACACCCCAAAAAACAACAACACAAGAGGCATTCCTGTTAGGATAGTTCAGAAGCAGGTACCCAGGTGTCAGAACAAGTTATTTAAGTATGCAACAACAGTGGCTTGGATTTTGTAAGCCAGAAAATGGAGGTTTAATGAGGTCCCTATTTAGGAGGATTGCAGCTTAAGATGATAGAATATGCAGAGTTAGCAGGTCTAAGAAGTGGAATAATAGAGCAAGAAGAACAGGTATTTAAAGAGTGGGGAATTTTTTGCTGAGTATGTGGAAAATAATTGTACACATTGACAATGCTGGCAGTGTTAAGGTAAATTCAAGAGTAAAACATATTTAAAAGGGTGCAAAATTGGGGGGGGGGAGAGACTGATTTAGATAGATATACAAGAATATGCAGGAATTATGGGTAAATTAAAAACACCTTGGAAGGGGAAGGAGGAAAGTCGTTGAATGGGTGGGTATAATGAAAGATGTTAATGTGGAAATGTGAAACCTGAAAAGTTCAATAAAAATTATTTTGACATGTTGACATCCAGATTATGTCAAAAGAGACAGAAATTCTGGTACCTCAAATGACATGTACCTTGGAACTGCTGGTCATAGAATGAAACCAGAGGCTATCTATGGTTACTAACTATGAAGGCTATGTTCTCCACTGTCGAGGCACTGAGCTGGGAATCGCAGGTGGCTGGGTGATTTAGGAATATATCATCCAAAACCAATTTGAAGTCCTTATGGGGGGGGGAGTAGAGACATCACCTTGCCAACAAAGGTCCGTATAGTAAAAGCTATGGTTTTCCCAGTAGTGATGTATGGAAGTGAGAGCTGGACCATAAAGAAGGCTGATTGCCGAAGAATAGATGCTTTTGAATTATGGTGCTGGAGGAGACTCTTGAGAGTCCCATGGACTGCAAGAAGATCAAACCTCTCCATTCTGAAGGAAATCAGCCCTGAGTGCTCACTGGAAGGACAGATCCTGAAGCTGAGACTCCAATACTTTGGCCACCTCATGAGAAGAGAAGACTCCCTGGAAAAGACCCTGATGTTGGGAAAGATGGAGGGCACAAGGAGAAGGGGACGACAGAGGACGAGATGGTTGGACAGTGTTCTCGAAGCTACCAGCATGAGTTTGACCAAACTGCGGGAGGCAGTAGAAGATAGGAGGGCCTGGCGTGCTCGGGTCCAGGGGGTCACGAAGAGTCGGACATGACTAAACGACTAAACAACAACAACACTGTGATAATCAGTTTCAGAATTTTTGACCCGGCAATAGATCATGAAACATGGTGTGTGTGTGTGTGTGTGTGTGAGAGAGAGAGAGAGAGAGAGAGAGAGAGAGAGAGAGAGAGAGAGAGAGAGAAACCATGAAGCCAGCCAACGTTTCTCTTGATTCTACAGCCCCTGTTAACACTGCTGGCTCAGCTTTCTCCTGCCTCATGCATGGGGCAGCAAACCACAAGAACAGGCACTGGCAAAAATCACAATACGGGAAAACTCTGAAGCCAGCCAATGCCTCTACATAGCTCCATCCTTATTTCAGACATCGTGATATATCAGTATGTTTAGTTGGTGATATATCACGATGTTGAAAACCAGGCAAGGGAGAGAGCAGCAGCCGCTGGTTCCCAGTCCTTTGCTCAAAGCACACCCCCTCCAAAATCATCCGATTAGTGGCCTGGAGAGACGTTTGCAATACAATGCTCATTCCTCCTTCCCAATCAGGGGTTGTGCTTGTTAATCTTCACTTAATTAAGAAGGTTGCATAATCTTTTTTTTCCTCCCTCCTCCTTTATGTGCACTAATAGGCCAGAACTGCAAAATTTGGCAAGCTTCCCTCGCACCCTTATGAAGAGAAAGAACAAGGACTGCAGCCAAAACATGCCTCGTTCCTGTGGAGAAGAACGGGGTGCCCTTTTGCCTAGACAAAGCACCAACTGGGCCCCATTCTGCTTGCCTCTTTCACCGCAATTCCAACTGATCCTTCCAATATTTATTGGTTTGGTTCACTTACCTACCCCTCTTAATTTGGAAAAACGCAGAGCAGTTCACAAACCAAATCATCAGGTGCCTAACCAGATAAAACCGTCTAATCGTCGTTTTCCCCCCTTCTCATAAATTTTTATTATTTTCTTTACATATTTTCTTATCATACTTTAAACAACATATACACCTTTTTGCTCTGCCGAGCTTGTGACTTCCCTCCCTCCCTTCAGATGGTATCCTTTATTAAATCCACTCGTGTATCTTATTTTTTCTCCTCTTATTTACATTGTAGGAGTTACATCGGTCCTGCTAGTGTTTTTAAGTTTTTACAACTGTCCTTTAAATATTCAATAAATTGACTCCAAACCATCAAATCATCTCGAACCTGAAAGCAGCAGCAACTTAAAACAATGCCACAGGACTTTTACTGTCGCACCAGAACAGTCTAGAAATGCACACACATTCTGAAATAACCCAACGAAGGGGAAGGCGTTAAGAACAAAATATTCAGCAACCCCAAAAGCAAGCAAGCAAGTAGGAGACAATAGTATTATGACACTATTCCCCTATTCCCCCCTTCCGCCAACCAGCCTAACTCTCCTCCAGAATCACAGTTACCCCAATAACAACTGGTTCTCAGCCAGCAACACTGGGGCTGGGAGAACCCCAACTCTTCTACCCAGAGGAAACCCCCTGCCCAAGAACACTTGAAATATGTGTAGAGAGCAATGGGGGAGAAGAGGAACTCTGAACTGGGGCTTTTCTCTTTTATTTTTTTATTTTTTATTGATACAGCAAGAAAAGAAAAAAGAGAAAACACAAATACCAAATTACACACAGGAATAACAATAGACACAGAATTTTCTTAACAAACAATAAGGCATAAATTGGCCTTAACACTAAAGACCCAACCTCCCGTCTATTGCATATTTCGATTTCATATAGCTTATTGCCAATACACACTTTTATCATAATTAAACTTTTTCTTAGGTAAAGGTAAAGGTAAAGGTATCCCTGCCAGTACGGGCCAGTCTTGACAGACTCTAGGGTTGTGCGCCCATCTCACTCAAGAGGCCGAGGGCCAGCGCTGTCCGCAGACACTTCTGGGTCACGTGGCCAGCGTGACATCGCTGCTCTGGCGAGCCAGAGCCGCACACGGAAACGCTGTTTACCTTCCCGCTAGTAAGCGGTCCCTATTTATCTACTTGCACCTGAAGGTGCTTTCGAACTGCTAGGTTGGCAGGCGCTGGGACCGAACAACGGGAGCGCACCCCGCCGCGGGGATTCAAACTGCCGAACTTTCGATCGGCAAGCCCTAGGCGCTGAGGCTTTTACCCACAGCGCCACCCACGTCCCACAACTTTTTCTTAATATATCTTAATTCTCATATCTGCCTTGCAACTATTACTGAAGTTCCTCATACTGGGGCTTTTCTCTTTGAAGGCTGCCCCTTTGGGGAAAATAAACCCTTGGTTCCCTTTGCACCAATTATAGCTACACAACCTGGCACATTTTCCAGATCAACATCCTTTTCGTGTCATCCATGCATTTTCCTTTCACAGGTAACGCCTGCTCTCTGGCTCAGCGGCCAGCCTGATGTTCAGTACCCAGATGGAGATTCAAAGCTTCTTTAGGGGCAGCAAATGGTTTGCAGAATCACCCACCATGTTTTGGGCACTGGTCCGCCCAGACACACTTCATGCATCTGGTGTCAAGTTGCAACCTCCCAGCACTACAGCTATCTGCCATCCCTCACAAAGGCAGGCAAGGTAAGCTCTGCGGTGCTGCCATCTTCTGGTTCAAAACACACACATTCCTCCGTCGCAGTTTGGAGTGAAACACAAGAATGGAAACCAGCCACAAACTGTGATGCTTTCACCAGTTCTACAAACAGTGTGGGGACACAGGCAGGCAACCAAAGGATATACCCTTATTTATTTTTTGCCTATAGAATGAAGGCAAACCCAGAAGGTGAGAGAAGGACCATTATAACTTCCAGCATCAACAGAAAACATAGAAATAAACTTTCGCCGATCCTGAGGGAGTTGAAACATGCCTGGCTCATGCACCAGCACGAATGTGACACGCCAACCATCTCTGCCCTGAGTTTTCAGCAGTGCATTAAAACTGTAAATAATAATAATAATAATAATAATAATAATAATAATAATAATAATAATTTTTATTTCTACCCCGCCCTCCCCAGCCAAGACCAGGCTCAGGGCAGCTAACACCAGGTATAAAAACAACTGATTAAAATACAACTTAAAAACAAGATTAAAAGACAGCATTAAAATGCAGCCTCAGTAGAAACTCAAATCAAAAACTTTTTGGGGATGAAAACGTCAAATCTTCACCAAGGCCAACTATCCAGACTGGTCCTACGTGGGCCAGAAAAAAAGCCAGGGAAATCCCCAAATAGATGGACCAAGAGTCAAAGGCTAATAATACAAGCTTGACACAATGGGGCTCCCTTTCTGGCTAATTGTCCAAATGCTGTTCTAGGGACCAGAACCGGATTTCATGAACACTGCCGACGGTTCTAGGACTCACCATATTTGGCTGCCACCCTTCAACATTGACGCAGCGATCAATGCACCACCAGAAGTCATCCTCAGATTCTCCCTTCCAGGCAAAAACGGAGAATCCTGCACAAGAGATAAGGAGGGTACGCACTTCAGATGGCAACAGGAAGCTCATAGCATGGGAGGCTGCACATGAAGAAAGATCACCTTAGAGCAGTAGTCCACTAAATGTTACTCAGAGTAGACCAAGTGAAATTAAGGGACCTACCCTAGTTGTGTCCATTCATTTCAATGGGTCTACTCTGAATACAACTTAGTGGAATGCCACCCTTAGCACCAATGGCTCTTGTTTTAATCTTTTGTATGTTTTTACCAGAAGTGGGAAGTGCTTCTTAAAATCCCCCACCCCCGAAATCACTTCCAGCCATACCTTTAATACCATATTTTTCGCTCTATAGGACGCACTTTTCCCCCTCCAAAAATGTTTTTTTTTTTAAAAAATAATTTTTATTGCATTTTTCAAACACAGACAGAAAACAATAAGAGAAAAAATAAACGAAAAATGTAAAAGAAAAAAGAAAAATCATACCCCTTCAACAGCTTATTCCAACTTCCCATCAAGCTTCCCCACATCTCCCGCACAATGCATTCTTAATAATAAATTTATCAGCAAATTATAACCTTGTTTCATGTGTTTCTTTGGTACTTTCAATTGCAATTTAAATTTAAATCCCTTATTGTCCATTTACCCTAAAAACAAAACATATTATCATTCTTAACATTTAAACTTTGATTCTTTCAATAATATTATCCAATTTCATAAATATTGCACTCTCGTTGCTGGGGCTAGCATTTCAAATTGTGCGTCATTTTATAGTTCATATAACTTATAAAATTTTTGTAAATAGTTCTTAAATTTTTTCCAGTCCTCCTCCATTGCTTCTTCTCCCAGGTCTCGGATTCTGGCAGTCATTTCGGCCAACTCCATATAGTCAATCAGTTGCGTTTGCCACTCTTCCAGCGTGGGTAAATCTTGAGTCTTCCAATGTTTGGCGATCAAAATTCTTGCTGCTGTGGTAGCATACATAAAAAACGTTCTGTCCTTCTTTAACACCTTTTGGCCGACAATACCCAAGAGGAAGGCCTCCGGTTTTTTAGAGAAGGTGTATTTAAACACCTTTTTTAACTCGTTGTAGATCATTTCCCAGAAGGCCTTCACTCTTGGGCAAGTCCACCAAAGGTGAAAGAATGTTCCTTCAGCCTCCTTACACTTCCAACATTTGTTATCAGACAAATGGTATATCTTAGCAAGCTTGACTGGGGTCATGTACCACCTGTATATCATTTTCATAATGTTTTCTTTCAAGGCATTACATGCCGTAAATTTCATACCGATGGTCCATAACCTTTCCCAGTCTTCAAACATGATATTATAACCAATGTCTTGAGCCCACTTTATCATGGCTGATTTAACTGTCTCATCCTGTGTATTCCATTTAAGCAGCAAGTTATACATTCTCGATAATACCTTGGTCTTTGGTTCTAACAACTCTGTCTCAAGTTTCGATTTTTCCACCTGGAATCCTATTTTTTTGTCCAATTTAACAATCTCGTTAATTTGGGCATAGTGAAACCAATCTCGCACCTTATCCTTTAAATTTTCAAAGCTCCGCAACCTCCAATTGTCACCAATTTTTTCTATTAATTCCCAATATTTCGGCCAATTCCCCCTCCAAAAATGAAGGGGAAATGTGTGTGCGACTGATGGAGCGAATGCAGGCTCCTTGGCTTCAGCAATAGCAACGCGAAGCCTCCGAAGCGCAGAGAGAGCGCTCCCTCCGCGCTCCAGAGGCTTCGCGTTGCTTTCGCTGCAGCCTGGAGAGCAAGAGGGGTCGGTGCGCACCGACCCCTCTCGCTCTCCAGGCTTCAGGGATAGCCGCCTGAAGCCTTTGTACCACAGTGGGAACTCGTGCTGCGCTCTGAAGGCTTCAGGTTCCTTTTGCTGAAGCCGGGAGAGCAAGACTCTCCTGGCTTCAGCAGAGAGGGAGAGCTGCGCAGCGCCCCTTCAGCCAAGCGGGAGGAGAACTGGAAGGGGCTCCATTTCTCCTGCTGCTTCGCTGAAGGGGCGCTGAGCAGAGAGGGGGAGAATTTTTTTCCCCTGTTCTCCCCCTCCTATAGTCCGGTGTGTCCTATGGTCCGGTGCGTCCTATAGAGCACAAAATACTGTGTTTTTTAGAGATCTTGGCTAGAACTCTGAAGCAGCCAAATACCTACCACTCTCAGCCAGCGCAGCAGCTACTTCATTGAGGGTGGAGTAGATGTTGCAGGCCGCCCACCGGCACTGAGCACCCAAGGCACCAAGGGTTTCCATGAGAACCTGTAACGAGCAAAATCGGCGGTGAGCGGGCCTGGGATTTGCCATGCCTGCACAAATCTTCACGCAAAAAGTAAATGCCACACCCAGTAATATTCAGTAACATAGAGAATTTCCACCTATTAAGTTCCCTTTTAAAAGCAGCAAACTACATGCACACCCCTGGATATATTTAAAGTAATCAGTATGGTTTTTACTTCCTCAACCTGAAAGTACAAAAAACAACACATAGAAAGCCATACTTTGATCACTTCAAGCCAGTAATGCAATTCTCTCCAAAAGTTTAGAATCCCGACCCCTGTTTTGCTCCAGCTCCTTACTTTTCTGTCGAAAAAGTCTAACCACTCATATACTTCATATGAATTATTTGAAGAGCAACTGTAATCAACAAATTACGCTAGTAGGACTACGAGAAGTTTTGTAAGGAGAAATATACGAAGGGTTACAAAGTAGAAAAAGATAGAGATATTGGTTATGAGTTTGAAATGTAACAGGGAAAATAAGAAACGCATACTAAGAGATTAGATTGGAAAATTTTCAGACAGGAATAATGGAAGTCAAAAAAATTGAATAAGATGCAAAAGTATGTTTAATCACTGTGGAAAATGGTATGTTAAAAAACTACAGTGGTACCTCGGGTTACATACGCTTCAGGTTACAGACTCTGCTAACCCAGAAATAGTGCTTCAGGTTAAGAACTTTGCTTCAGGATGAGAACAGAAATCGTGCTTGGGCGGCACGGCAGCAGCAGGAGGCCCCATTAGCTAAAGTGGTGCTTCAGGTTAAGAACAGTTTCAGGTTAAGTACGGACCTCCGGAACGAATTAAATACTTAACCCGAGGTATCACTGTAATAACAATTTATATAAAAGAAAAAAGAAAAAGTCTAACCCCTCTTCTCATTACACATACTACAGCACTTTGCCAGGTACTGAAGCAACCCCCCCATAAACCCTCCATGCCCCATCTCACGTCCAAAACTCTGGCTGGAAGAGCAGGCGGTGAAATCAGCAGGGGAGAATGGCAGAGAGCAAGCCCAAGAAACAGCCTTAACAACCAGGGGTTGGGTAACTTGGCTGAAGCAGCTAGGGTAACGAGCCATGACTCAAGACAATTACCAGCCCCAGAGGATAAGTGGGGATGGGGAGGAAGAGTTGAACTCTCGGCAGCATTCTTCTCCCCAAATGCTCCCTAACAATCTGGAGGCAGTTGGAGGATGGATGGCGGCTAACAGATTGAGGTTGAATCCTGACAAGACAGAAGTACTGTTTTAGGGGGACAGGGGGCGGGTCCTGAATGGGGTAACTGTGTCCCTGAAGGACCAGGTGCACAGCCTGGGAGTCATTTTGGACTCTCAGCTGTCCATGGAGGCACAGGTCAATTCTGTGTCCAGGGCAGCTGTTTATCAGCTCCATCTGGTACGCAGGCTGAGACCCTACCTACCCGCAGACTGTCTCGTCAGAGTGTTGCATGCTCTGGTTATCGCTCGCTTGGACTACTGCAATGTGCTCTATGTGGGGCGACCTTTGAACGTGACCCAGAAACTACAACTAATCCAACTAGACTGGTGACTGGGAGCAGCCACCGAGACCACATAACACTGGTCTTGAAAGACCTACATTGGCTCCCAGTACATTTCTGAGCACAATTCAAAGTGTTGGTGCTGACCTTTAAAGCCCTAAACAGCCTTGGTCCAGTATACCTGAAGGAGCGTCTCCACCCCCTTCGTTCTGCCCAGACACTGAGGTCCAGCACCGAGGGCCTTCTGGCGGTTCCCTCACTGCGAGAAGCCAAGTTACAGGGAACCAGGCAGAGGGCCTTCTTGGTAGTGGCACCCGCCCTGTGGAACGCCCTCCCACCAGATGTCAAAGAGAAAACAACCACCAAACTTTTAGAAGACATCTGAAGGCAGCCCTGTTTAGGGAAGCTTTTAATGTTTAATAGGTTATTGTATTTTAGTGTTTTGTTGGAAGCCGCCCAGAGTGGCTGGGGAAACCCAGCCAGATGGGCGGGGTATAAATAACAAATTATTATTACGTTATTATAACAAGCTAACCTCCACATTCCTTCAAGCATGGACTTTTTAACATTGGGGGGGGCACATGTGAGCCCATGCACAAGGCTGGCTTCAGGTTTCAGCAAACTCCACCTGTAGGTTTACCTGGAAGCAGCAGCAGCAACAGTTGGCCATTTCAACTTCCCACATGTAGTGTCAGTCCCCTGGGGCACCATGGTAAATTAAAACAGCATTGCACACAGGCTCATCTGCATGGCACGGGATGCACAGAGCAGGCACCAATGGGGCTGGGCACTGGGTATTCAAGTTGCTGCCAAAAGGTACCATGTGCCAATGCTGGCCTGGGGTGAGGAAAAAGGTCTGAAAGCTCAGCTACCAGAGAAATGTAAGGCAGGGGATAAAATCAACCAAGTAAGAGGTGCCAGTTTCCTGAATAGAACAGTGTGAATTTCCAAAAGTGAAACATAGCCTCTGAAGGCTGGGTTTCAGAAGGCATCCAAAAACTTCCTGGAGAAATCGTGCCATTTGAGCTGCCTATTCTTCCCTCTATGCCACCATGTGGGATATCAGATATTTGAGCCAAGGTGTCATACTAGGCTTGTCACATGTGCTGGATGCCAAGGACCAGTTGGACGGGAGAGCTTACAGCAGTCTGGGCTGTGATGTGCGTACAGCCCACGATCTTGGCTCCAGCCAATGGCTTCTCTCCCTGAGCTCGTTTCCTCAAGGCCATGAGCGCAGGCATTTCTAGGAAGGAAGAGGAAAAGAAATGACACACACGAAAATGGGCACAGATGCTCAAAATCCAAAAGCCAAGTAAACGTCAAGCAGGTGACAGCAAACATTTCCCCTTCAGCATCAGAAAGATTATCGCTTTAAAACAAAGCACTGCAAAGTTCTGTTCTGTAACCCAGGGGTGGGGTGGGGAATAATCTGCAAGGACAAGTCCCAGAAATGGTGTGAACGTTCAAGGACGTGCCCGCTTCCCACGTTCCACAGATAATTAGACAGTGGAATCCCAGGTCTGGAAGAAGCCCAATAAATTTTCCTGGTTCAACACCTGCCCTGAAGCAGGGCATGCGTGGCCTAAAAGCTTCCCCAAGAAATGGTTCTCCAGCAAAGGAGATTTCACCATCTCCCCAGGCAACTTCTTCCAAGGCTAAGCTCATTCTTAGAATGCAACCATGCTAACGTCCACCTCGATGTGGGAAAAGAGACTGGCGGGCAACAAGAGGATTCACTTGGATCTGTAGAACCACAGCTTGGTTTTGCTTGGACTGTGCTGAGAACTTTGGAATTAAAACTTAAAAGGTGACTTGGTTTGGCTGTTTTGTAACCCTAAATGGGTCTTCCATCACCAAACAGCTCAGCTGTTTGAAGAGATGGAACTTAAAATGATGGCAAACCAATGAAAGCTTTCTTGAGTTTTATTTCATCTCAGAAAGAAACAATGGTATTGGTTAAAACAAAACAAAAAAACAAATTTTTTTTGTTTTGACTATGGCAGACCAACACGGCTACCTATCTGTAAATGGTATTGGTTATTAGGTTGGATGACAGAGTGTTCAGATAAGAGGCCTTCCACATCTGCAGTGACCAGAAGTGATACTATGAGATTTGCTTAGTGGCCTGAGGGTACCACTTGCCCATGCAAGCAAGAGCTATGAATTCCAAATGATCAAGAGCATTTGAAACAGCCTTACTTATCGAGTCAAGATTTAAGGGCAAACAACACATTGCACTGCCAAATTTCATGACATTCATTTGCTAATACAACACAACGCCCACTGTGTATGTATCCTCCCCATGCCCTTTCTCCCCTGCTAACGCCTCCTTCATTCCTCCTAACCCGGTGAATTATTTACAGTCTCTGGATCTGGCTGGAATAAAACAGGCTGAAGAAGGCAGGGGCATTTGCTGGGAATGGCTAAGCCTTCCAGTTCATTGGTCCTCCCCGATGTTAGGACTATATTTGCTTTGTAACACCTAATTCTAATTTACAAAGTTCCATTAATGCTGTACTGTTTTTAATATTCAGTTGGAAGCCGCCCAGAGTGGCTGGGGAAACCCAGCCAGATGGGCGGGGTATAAATAATAAATAATAATAATAATAATAATTATTATTATTATTATTATTATTATTATTATTATTATTATGATATTGAAGTCAAATGCCTGTGCTGTTTTTTGAGACAACAATAGCAATTTGTCATTCTTCTGATTTCATCTATATTCAATGATCTATATGGAACAGGAGCAATTTGGGGGCGGGTGGGGATTCTGGGGAGAGCTGAACTGAACTGTATGCCTTACATTTCATTAGTGGTGCACCACGGGCTCCCCAGGACAGATTCGAAGAGTCAGATCTTACTGCCACATAGTTGTGCCAGAAAAGGTGTCTACCCAAATGGCAGCAAGACCAAGATCTCTTCATCTAATGAAGTTACCCAGAACGGCACATCTCTCTTACCTTGCTCGGCAATTTCTATTTCCCGGCGCCCAAATTCAGCCTGCTTGATATTTTTCACGCAGAAGTCACTGCTGCCTTTGGTGTTCTTCTGCTGCTTGTCCCGGGGGGAGGTCTCATCATCAGAGCTGTCTGTGTAGGAGGCAGCTGGAAGAAGATGCGGACATTTATTATTATTATTATTATTATTATTATTATTATTATTATTATTATTATTATTATTATCATCTACCCCGCCCATCTGGCTGGGTTTCCCCAGCCACTCTGGGTGGCTTTCAACAGAACATTAAAAACAAAATAAAACTTCAAACATTAAAAACTTCCCTAAACAGGGCTCCCTTCAGATGACTTCTCAAAGTTGGATAGCTGTTTATTTCCTTGACATCTGACGGGAGGGCGTTCCACAGGGAGGGCACCACTACCGAGAAGGCCCTCTGCCTGCTTCCCTGTAACCTCACTTCTTGCAGTGAGGGAACCACCAGAAGGCCCTCGGAGCTGGACCTGAACAATGGGGGTGGAGACTCTCAGAGAAGAGCAACATTCACAAGATCACAATCAAAGCTGAACATGCATTTGTCTCAGACCTCAAGTAAGTGACTACATGTGCTTCTTTCCCTTTGGTGACAATTTTGGATCCTACAGCACTGTATGAAAACATTTAAGCCAGATCGTAGAAAGGATTCAAGATGCATCGGGATCCTTCCATTACAAGGATTTGACCACCAGTTCTGCAGGTCAATAATTAAGACCTGTGTATCCGAGGTTATCCATGCCTAAGAGCCTCACTGCAAAATCTCTGCATGTTTCCTTTCACAGCCCTCGTGTGCTCTGATGCCCACTTTCTCACTCACAATGCTCCAACGGCTTCTGCTTGGACCGACACCGACTTGGCCTCCTTGGTATTGAAAATGTTGGCAACTTGGACACCTCAGGTATTTCATCATTGTAAGAGTCACATGAGAAGACCCTTGGGACATCCATCGTAGCAGCACGTAACCTCTCCTCTCAGCAGAAAAGGGTCATACATGGGCATGTATGTGAATGTACAGGGTCATATCTGAGACTCAGCCTCCTGGATCTCTTTGTAGCTAAGGCAAAGTCGTGCTCAGGGGCTGGAGATGAGTCATAAATGGTCATTGTGACCTCAGGTTCCAAAGGCAGGATGGAATCATATTGGCTCTCATTGGTTCCCTGCACTACTGCTGTATCACAGTTGCAAATCAATGGAATAAAGGCAAAGTAGTCAAGGAGGCTTTGGAAAAAGCTCTCAAGGCAGACATCACCCTGTCAGCAGATATCTGCAATGTCTGGAGATATCACCCTGCCTCTCTCTCTAGTTCCCTAGTTTCAAGATTGTCCCACCCTAGTAGTTTTCTCATTTGAACACTGCAAAGCAACTCCTGGCACACATATATTCTCAAATCTGCAATGAGACCAAATGGTGCAGATGCTAATGCATCCTTAAAAACTAAGGAGAGTTACAGCAGACTTGCTGGATCAGACCAAAGGTGTGTCTAGATGAGCATCCTGTTTGCTGCAACAACTAGGGACACTCACAATCAGGTCGTGACGGCAACTGGAGTTCCCTCTCAACACAGAGGTTACATCTCACCAACATGATTAATCTGCACGGGCAGACCTATCCTCGTTCCATGCATTTGCCGAATCCTCTGCAAAGCTGTCTAAGATGGTGCCCTTACCACACTGACTGCCAATTAGTTTCCAGGCCCAATTCAAAGTGCTATAAGCCTTAAATGACTCAGAACCACAAGAAATTGATTGATTGCCTGCCATGGATGTGATTGCTCTTCACCTGAAGAAACCAGCATGCAGCCTGGAAGCCCAGCTAGCCTCAGTGGCTAGAAACACATTTTAATAGCTGTGCTTGGTGGTATTATTATTATTATTATTATTATTATTATTATTATTATTATTATTATTTGAATTTATATACTGCCCTATATGTGGAGTTCTCAGGGCAGCTCACATAAAAATATCACAATATATAAAATAAAAATAAAAGCAATAACCCAATAATATACCCCCCAAAAAGAGCCACATTTTAAAAGGGTATGGGATGTTGATCAGGTCAGCCAAAGGCCGGGTTAAAATGAAGGCGCCAGGCGAACTTCCCTGGGCATTCCACAGATGAGGAGCCACTGCAGAGAAGGCCCTGTTCTCATGTTGCCACCCTCCAGTCCTCTCGAGGAGGTGGCACACGAAGGAGGGCCTCAGGAGATGATATCAGGGTCCGGGTAGGTTCATGTGGAAAGAGGCAGTCCTTGAAGTATTACAGTCCTGAGCCATTTAAGGCTTTATAGGTTAAAACTAGCACTTTGAATTGGGCCCAGAAATGAATTGGTAGCCAGTGCAGTCGGACCAGTACAATAGCTATGACCATTTGTGGACCAGGAGAGCTTGGCAACCATAGTTCAGGAAATGATGACTTCAAGTCTTGATTACTGCAATGCACTCTATGTGGGGTCCCCTGACCCCAGAAACAGCAGTTAGTGTCAGCACAACACACCCTCTCTTCAGAGAACTATGAGGGTTGCCAATTTGTTACTGGGTCAAGTTCAAGGCATTGCTACTGGAAGGCAAAGCCCTTAACTGCTTTGTATCAGTTGATCTGCAGGGTCACCTTACCTTAAATGTGCCCACTTGATGGATGTGTGAAACTTGCTTGTAATTTTTATTTTGCAGTTGTAAAAAGTTGAACTTTTAATATGCTAGCACCTACACGTTAGAACACCCTGCTGTTGACATTAGGCCGGCAGATGCATTCACTGTACGTTTTCTGGCATCCACGTAAAACATTTTTGTTTAGACAAGCTTATACAGCAGCGTTTCTCAAATTTGGGTCCCCAGCTGTTGTTGGACTACAACTCCCATCATCCCTGACCACTGGTCCAAAAACACACAAAGCTGTTGACATGCTTTTCTTTTCTACTGTTAATTTCATTTATCCTTAAATGGTTGGTTGTTTTTAACTGTTTTTCCTGATAGTTTGAATATTTTATGTAAACCATTTAGAGGTTTTATTACAATCAGGTGGTATGCACATTTTGTTAAATAAATAAATACTGCCTGAATCCTAGCAAGGTGGCAGTCTCAGTAGGAGGGCAGTTCCTGTATCCAGGAAACTGGTGTGTGACCTGCCCCATACGGGTCACAGTGTCTCTGAAATAGCAGGTGTATATGCGAAATGTGAACATGTTAGTGGGCTGGCTAATCTGGAATTTATTGGTTTGAGTTGCTTCGATTAGTTTGCTGGAGAAACTTCACTGTAAACTTGCTGATTTGTTTTGAAATAGTTAATAAATGAGTTGCTTATACTTTTCTGAATATTACTCGTTCTTAAGCACGAGTTGTGAATGTGGTATCTTTCCTGGAACAGCTAAACAATTCATAACAAACGAAAACCAAGTAAAAATGGAAGAGAAGGCTGACGGTGATTCATTCCGAAAGCCTACGCCGACCAGAACAAAGTCAGGACACCAGTGTCTTGTATTCATCTTCTGTTTTTGAGGATGTTAGAACATTTGGCTTTGGCTACACAGGAGCTGTTGTGCTGAAGCGGAGGGAACAGAGACATGCAGATGCCCACTCAAAATCTGAAACTGCCTCTAAGAAGAGCTTAGGAGGAACAGTACATACCAGAGCTGTAGCTATCCGTTGATGACTGAGAGATGGATCGGGACAGGGAACGGCGGCCAATCTTTGTGGGGCGCTTGTTGAATTCTTGCTTTTGGTCCGCAAACTGGATCTGTCAAGAGAGAAGGTAAGGTAAATTTAAAAGGCCAACAAATGCAATTGTTCTGCTGAAGTTAAGGAATAGTTGCCTGTATCAGTAGTTAGACTGGGTTGCAATTTCTTCAGCATTAACCTTCTTTAGTGGACTTGTTGGTGTGGGTGCTTCAGCCCCAGGCAACACACAGCGTTTTAACCTGTTACTTCCCTTCCAATCACAACTGCCAGGAGACAAGTGGCTGGAGATGAGGGGCCTTGGAGGTGCAGAGTCCACTCACAGTGGATAGAAACTACTGTTCTGTTCAAAGAGTTCCTGGCACTCTAAATTACCGTATTTTTCGCTCTATAAGACGCACCAGACCACAAGACACACCTAGTTTTTGGAGGAGGAAAACAAGAAAAAAAAATATTCTGAATCTCAGAAGCCAGAACAGCAAGAGGGATCGCTGCGCAGTGAAAGCAGCAATCCCTTTTGCTGTTCTGGCTTCTAGGATAGCTGCGCAGCCCGCATTCGCTCTATAACAGTGTTTCCCAACCTTGTGCCTCCAGCTGTTTTTGAACTACAACTCCCATCATCCCTGACTAGCAAGACCAGTGGCAAGGGATGATGGGAATTGTAGTCCAAAAACAGCTGGAGGCACAAGGTTGGGAAACACTGCTCTATAAGACGCACACACATTTCCCCTTACTTTTTAGGAGGGAAAAAGTGAGTCTTATAGAGCAAAAAAATACGGTAAACCCCTCTCTGTGCCAGGTGGTAAGAAGCTACACAGTGGGGACTCAAAACAGTTTTGTGCTACAGATATTCACTATGAAGACAGCGAAGACACCAAAATCAAGTATTTTCAGAAACCAAGGCTGTTTCGGTTAAACCTAAGCTTCCAAACCACAAATGATTTCCGAAGAGTCAGAAGCTCAAACACACACACTTTCCAGTAGACTGCTGCCACACCAACACCTGAAAATTATTTGGGGAGAACCTCCAATATTATCACGGAACAAAACATGGCATGACCCAGTGGTGACAAGGCTGGACGTCAGTTTTGAAAACATGAACAATGGGTCCAATGTAGAAATAAAGTTGTTTAAAAGGAGGGAGAACTGAAAATGGCAAAAAGCATGCAAAATAGCAAAATATATGCCCCAGATAAAAAGTCATTTCTTTCACTGCCTATAAAGATGGTGCCAGACAAGACCTCCTTTGGCTTCAGAACCGAGGTGGTGGCACCCCAAATTTGGAATGCCTTTTCCAGGATTGTTTTGGTGGCACAAGCTTTTTTAATTATGTTTTTACCACTGTTTTAAATCTTGCTTGGCTCTGGTTTTAAAACACATTCCTGCCCTTTTAATGTTGTTTCATTACATTTTTAATTTGTTATGAATTGGGATCTGTTCCGGGGACCTCTGGGGATTCGAACAACAGGAGAGAACGGGGACAGTCATACATTACTCAGGCTCTGAGCAGGCGCAAGGAGGCATGCGCTACATTACCATCGGTGTCCGAAGAAAGTTGTCGGCACGCCCAAGAACCAACAACTGAACTAAGGACCCATTAAGTGTCTTTTTAAACCCTTCTGTATATAATCCACAAAATGGTTGTGCCAATGACACACAAGGACTGAAAAAACTAGTGTAATCACAGAAGGCAGGGCAAATCTCATGCAAATGTAGGAATAATAATAATAATAATAATAATAATAATAATAATAATAAATTTTATTTATATCCCGCCCTCCCCAGCCGAAGCTGGGCTCAGGGCGGCTAACAACAATCAAAATAGTCCAACATTCTAAAAACATTCATTATAAAATTAAGACCGTAAATTTCTCTGTGGGACATACCAGGAGAGGCGGTCCCGTAGGTACGAGGGTCCTAGGCCGTATAGGGCTTTAAAGGTTAAAACCAGCACCTTAAACCTGATCCTGTACTCCACCGGGAGCCAGTGCAGCTGGTATAGTACCGGATGGATATGATCTCGCAGCGAAGACCCCATAAGGAGGGGGTAAGTAAAGTAAGGCCCTCATTCAACACAGGCAACGGAGGGCGCACATTTGACACCCACGTGAAACGGGATTCCTCGACAGGAAATTGAATGCCACCTGTTACAATCAAATAGGCTGTTTGAGACTGAAGGGGGGAATAGCGCAGGATGGGCTAAGTAAATTCAGTTTTTAGAAATCAAGCAGATTTCTATCAAATGAGTAAAAGAGTGGCAAAAGACACACAAAAGCAAGCATTTAGACCACTCTGCTCACTCCTGCGCCCTTTTGACCAAATGAAATCCTCCTCCCTGTTGAAGTCACAATAATGGATCTATTCCGGCAGCTAAAGGCTTTTCTTGCAGTAACCTTGCAAAGTTCCCATTGTCTACTTTTTCTGAAAATAGAAGTATGTTTCTTGAAATTCACGTATCAGTCAATGCAGGCTTCTTCAACCTCGGCCCTCCAGATGTTTTTGGCCTACAACTCCCATGATCCCTAGCTAGCAGGACCAGTGGTCAGGGATGATGGGAATTGTAGTCTCAAAACATCTGGAGGGCTGAGGTTGAGGAAGCCTGAGTCAATGGAATCAACCCAGCAAGAGTTCTAGAAGGAACAGTTTAAAATCAGACTTATTCCCTTGACCACAAGGGGTCAGGCCTCTAACAATCCTTAACAATCCTAACTACTGCTGAAAAAAATAAATGCCAACATCACCTTTCTTTTAGAGCCACTAATTCCTTTGATTAGGGCCAGTAATAATGAATGGTAGTTCAATATAAAGAAGTATTTTTATTTACAAGACATTTCAGATGGGTGAAAAGTAGCAATTATATTCGCACTCTATAGCATCTCATATCCCTTAAATCCCTCTTTCGCTCAAGACATTTACAGTATGTGCTCCTTGTGCAAAAGCCCCATTCATGAGAAATCACAGCATTAATCCACCATCAACAGAAAGCAAGTCTTCAACAGTTGTTGAAAGCCACTGAAAATGATTCCTTGGCAGCATGTGCACAAAAGGGTCCAACACATTCCTGTGCCCTTTCTGGCTTTTCAACACAGCTGGCTGCCCATTTTAACACCACCATTGCACCACCATTGGTGCCTCCCTTACATCCGGAGGGTAAACAAAATTCTGTCCCCCCAGATGCCACTTTCCCCATGCCCTTTGACTGGCAATTAGAAGAACAAGCAGAGACTTGGGCACCTGCCATGCCATGTCTCAACAGGGATGCTGTTTCTGAGATCTCTGGAAGCTCTTCTGCAGAATGCAGTGACGTACTGGGTATACAGTGGTACCTCGGGTTACATATGCTTCAGGTTACATACGCTTCAGGTTACAGACTCCGCTAACCCAGAAATAGTACCTCGGGTTAAGAACTTTGCTTCAGGATGAGAACAGAAATCGTGTTTCGGCGGCGCAGCTGCAGCAGGAGGCTCCATTAGCTAAAGTGGTGCTTCAGGTTAAGAACAGTTTCAGGTTAAGAACGAACCTCCGGAACGAATTAAGTTCTTAACCCGAGATGTATAAGGGATGAGGCAGTCTCTCTAGCAGCCTGATCCCAAACTGTTTAAGACCTTATGTCTTAGTATCAAAACTTTGGACTTGGACCGACAGCTGATTGGGAGCCAGTGGAAATCCCACAAACAGCATGTTGCATGTTGGAACTCGCTTGCTCCCAAAAGCAGCCCAGATCTACTGCACTGGCCATAGCCTCTGAACTGCCCTCAAGGGTAGAGTCACATAGAGCGCATTGCAGGAATCCAGCTTCGAGGTTACCAATGTGTGGAAACTACGGTCAAGCTGTCCAGATGCGGGAACAGTTGTAGCTACGTCTGCACTTCCAGTGGCATGCAGTATTCTGAATGCAGAATCTCTGTGGGGAAGGAAAAATACGTGGCCCTAATGATTCAATGGTCATCTGAAGAACATCTTATGGCTGAGACTCCAAATGGCTTTGCCATCAAGATTAATGCCCAAGGCTAAGTTAGGTCCATTAATTTCAATAGATCTACTCTGAGTAGGACTAGCAGTCGCTACAACCCAGTCATTTACCACTATAAGTGCGCAATCTGGCAGGTGGCTGTAAGCAGCACCAAATAAAACCACCTCCCAGTGCGCACAGCCACATAAACCCCTCCACTCTGCATTCACCCCCTCAAAAAAGAGTGTTAGCAAGGCCAGCTGAAGAGAGGGTGTATGGGGGGGGGGAACCAGTCAGGCAACCACAACAGCCTTTGAGTTAATCAACATTTGATGATACTCCTGCTATTGGATTTTTAATCTGATTGCATTTTTATTTTAAGGCTGCCATATAATTTACTTCGTCATTTTAGGATGCCTGTATTATTTCCCTCCTTTTAAAAAGAGAAGCAGGTAATGTGGGCAAAACAAGATGCATCATAATTTAAAGGCCCCATCATCCCTGACCACTGGTCCTGTTAGCTAGGGGTGATGGGCGTTGCAGTCCCAAAACATCTGGAGGGCCGAGTTTGCCTATGCCTGATTTATAACATAGAAAACAACTACTACACAATATGATCGTCGGCAACCCAGAAAGTATAAAACAATGCAACTACATAAGAACACAAATCATTCCCAAGATATAACTATAAACACACCTCTTACATATGTACCTTATGTGTGTATACAAACTCAGTATCACTTGGTGTGTCTCTTGCTCTCATGCTCTGCAAATAAAAAAAAAATATTTTGATACTATACTAAACTACACTGAAATGTTTAAATGTTTCTTTGGTTGTCCTTGAATTTTCCCTCCACTTTTGCCATCCTCTCCTGCCACACCCTTCGAGAACCACTAATCCTGTGGGAACAAGAAAAGCCTGCAAGATCCGGCCAAAGGGGTCCAATCCAGCCCAGCATCCTGTTCTTACAGTGGCCAACCAGGTGCCTGCAAGAAACCATCAAACAGAACATGGGCACAAGAGCCCTCTGCCCTCCAGTTTCCAGCAACTGGTGTTTCGAAGTACTGCTGCCTCCAGCTGTTGACCTCTGCAGTCAGTCAGTGTATAC